GTGGTCTATCCATGCCAAGTGTAGCCACATCATCCTCACTTTCACTGTCTATTCCTGGTTTAGGGCCATGGGATGTACTCCAGGATGTACTCCGGGATGTACTCCATCCTCTGGGCACTGCATAGGGAACACTACTCGAGCGCATGCAGCGGCATATATACCAACGCTTCACCGGTGAACATGATTCCTCACTATCACTACTCGAATGATTGTCAAGAGCAATATAATCACAATCCACGTCAGTATCATTATCATTACTGAAGTCAGAGGCCTGGCCACATGAAAATATTAGTTTTCTCTTGCGATGAGGTACAACTGAACATGACTGAGACATGCCCACACCAGAGGTAGAAGGCTGAGGATCGTCAGGATTTTCTGCACTATTTTCGATATCCTGGTCATTCCTCTCGGTCACTAATTGATCAGTGCCATAGAATTCGTCTTCATTTCCACTTCCATCAGAGTCAGAACTATCAGATAGGAAGAGGAGAGTCCCAATTCGCCTTGGAGTGAGAGCTGCCTTGCAATGAGGCTTGGTGAACAAAGGTAACTGAGCATGCGTTCCCACAATGCTACCTGGGCGCCTAGAATTTTTCTTCATGGTGCACACACACCACGCAGACCCATTCTCTCACATGTAGGCCTACCAGCCTCCATGCGCTAAATTTGATGCCATTAGAATTTTGGCGTAGATCAACGGGTTGGACCCTCAATGTATAGCCATAGATCTACAGCATGGACCCTCAAAGGTTAATGAACACTTTGCTGCCAAGATGAAAGTTCTTGATCCAGCAAGGGACACTCCATGGCTAGCAGCAAGAACTGTGTCAAAGTTGTCAGTGGTATACTCCAGGTGACAATAAGGCAGGATGAGGTGTATCTTTTCCTTAAATTGCTGTACCAAGAAAAGGCTGTAGAACCACATAAGTTGAGCCCAAGATAGCCAAGTAGATGTGCAGACCAATTATTAGCATCTCTAACTTGCATCTATCAGCATTGCCTAGCAGTATAAATGGTCTTATCTGTGGAAAGAGGGAAATGTAGTCCCTGTTTATAAAAAGAAGAGCAGAGAGGAAATTAGCAACTACAGACCAGTGTTACTCCTGTCAATCACTGGCAAGATTCTTGAGATAACAATCTCACAGCAAATGACAGTATTTTACCTACCAATCGCTACTTTGTGACCATCAATATGGATTCCGAAAAGGTTACTCTGCTGCTTATCCATTGTTAAACCTCTCCACTAAGTGGCACCAGACACTGGATGAATTTAAGGTCACTTGTGTGGTAGCACTGGACATTGCTGGAGCTCTAGACTGAGTATGGCACCAGGGATTCTTGGCAAAACTGCAAGCACTGGGAATCACTGGCTCAACACTATGCCTTTTCAATGATAACCTTCAAAGAAGATCTCTAAGAGTTGTTCTCAATAGGACAAAGTCAATAAGACACACTATTGGTGCAAGTGTACTTTGGCCAGTGTTATGGAATGTCTGCTTTAATGGCCTTCAACTCATCCCAGAATCCTTTGTATATGAAAATGGCTGTACTCTGACATTTATTTATCCAAGAGAGGAAATGCCAGTGCTCTTAGTTATATCATTTACCAGCTTACAGCTATATCTGTTTGGGAAAAATGATGGCAGGTCACATTTGCTCCCGAGAAAACACAAATGATGATGGTGTGTAAGCACCATGATAGTAATGTTGGAGCAGTGGTAAGAATGAACAGGAGTGTGTTGGTACCCAGGGATGAAGTTGGTATCCTTGGGGTGAAATCTGGTTCCAGAGTGGCTATGAAGAACCACACTGTAAATAGTAGGAAGCTTACAACATATCGACGTATCTCACATCTGCTCAACAGAAGAGTTTGCTCACACTTTGACTATGCTCAACTCTCTTGGATCACCTGCCCATCACTTATCTGTGACTTCTTAACAGAATAAAGAAAAGAGCAAGATAGCTCATCTCTTACCTGGACCCAGTCTGGACAGATCTGTCATTCCAGCAGAGCTTTCAACACTGGAGGGTTGTGGGCAGCCTTACTGCTATGTACAAGGCCATACTGTCAAAGTACCACACTTGGCTTCACTCCAAGGACAGTGAGAAGTAAGCTTCTATACTACCAGATGAACAGCAAGCAGCAACTAAAATGTACACACTGACTGTAACTTTCTCCAGAACATCACTTCATATCGATCATTTATTCCAAGGATGACTAGAGTCTGGAACATGCTTGCACAGCATAACAACATCAAAGAAATAAAGTCAGTTGACCAAATGAAATCATTGGCCCATGGATGGCTCCAACTTCATCCTGTTCCCTATTTGTATATCTCGTAATAAAAAGACTTTCAAATGAGCTGATGTAGGTAACAGTTCTTAGCTTGTAAATAAAACTATGAACCTTAACCTAGAATTGAGACACTTATGCAACATATGGGAATCTTTATTGAAGTAACATTTTGCCACACAGTGACTTCATCAGTCCAATACAAAGTAGAAATGAGTAAGGAGAGGAGGAGTTTGAGGTAATCAGTCCCTCAACCTGGAACTAATGTGTTCAGTCCATCACTCTTATAGGAAGTACAGCATAGGGCCAGAGAGGTGGCTTATATACTGCAGTCAGATGAGTCGAAGCAGGAGGAGGTGGGATCACAGTGGGACCTGCCACTAGTGTAAGTAGCATCCAAAGGTTGGACAAGCATTGAAGTCTTTGTACCAAGAGTCCATGATGTTGCAGTGTCTGACAGATGTGATGAATGGTTTTGAAAACCAACAAGTGCCTCAATTCTTTAACTTGTCAGTTTTCAAAACCACTCATCACATTTGTCAGACACTGCAACATCATGGAATCTTGGTACAAAGACTTCAACGCTTGTCCAACCTTTGGATGACGACCTACTTACACTAGTGGCAGGTCCCACTGTGATCCCACCTCCTCCTGCTTCGACTCATCTGACTGCAGTATATAAGCCACCTCTCTGGCCCTATGCTGTACTTCCTACAAGAGTGATGGACTGAACACATCAGTTCCAGGTTGAGGGACTGATTACCTCAAACTCCTCCTCTCCTTACTCATTTCTACTTTGTACTGGACTGATGAAGTCACTGTGTGGTGAAACGTTTCTTCAATAAAGATTCCCATATGGTGCACAAGTGTCTCAATTCTTCAGCTTGTTGGTTTTCAAAACCATTCATCACAACCTTAACATAACCTTGCAAAAACCTGTGTAAAAAATGACAGACAGAGACAGTGAGACAGAGAGAGAGAGAAAAAGAAAGAGAGAAAACAATTATAAACTCAGTAACATAAAGTAACTCTGTCATATACATGTTTTAAGAGGCTGCACATAAGGACTGCATGGTAATACAGTCATCATGAATGACATCATGGCTGAGAGCAACAAAGATCTGCTATGCTGAGTGAAGGTCTGAATGATTATTAACACTGATTATGACCACAAAGGTGCCAGCATCATGTTACACAAACCAACCCAACATAGTGACTGTGGGTTCAGACTTCAATCATCACAAGTAACAATATTACTTCAACTAATCACAATCGCAATATTCTTGATGAACTAAACATTTTAAATTTACTCAAAGTTTCTACGTTTTATTATTTATGTGAAGCACTAAACACATCTGGGTAATTCTGTAAGGGATTTTTTTGAGGCTTGATCCTCCATCTACTCAACACCCAACACATGATCTTCCATCTACTCAACACCCAACGCTTGATCATCTGTCTACTCAACACCCAACACTTGATCCTCTGTCTACTCAACACCCAGCACAATATTGTCTGTCTACTCAACACCCAACACATGATCGTCTGTCTACTCAACACCCAACACATGATCGTCTGTCTACTCAACACCCAACACATAATCATCTGTCTACTCAACACCCAATGCATGATCGTCTGTTTACTCAACACCCAACACATGATCATCTGTCTGTGCATCACCCACCACTTGATCTTCAATCTGCACATCACCCCACACATGATCCTCCATCTGCACATCACCCCACACATAATTCTCCATCTGCACATCACCCCACACATGATCCTCCATCTGCACATCATCCCACACATGATCCTCCATCTGCACATCATCCCACACATGATCCTCCGTCTGTGCATTACCCGAGGCATGTACTATTTATGCAGCCACAACTTCCCTCAATAAATGCCACAGATTTACTGGCTACCATGTATAAAAGAATCAATTACTGTGAGAGCATACAGTATCACTAGTGAGTGTGGTAGATAAGAGGTGACAACAACACAAGTGTACACAACTAACCACTGCCTATACCAACCAACCACCCACCATACATTCCACCAGAAGTATAATTGTAATAATACAGTAGGGCAACAAAGAGTTTAATTTTGAAGATTGAGGAAAGGTTGTTGAAGTGGTATGGCTATTTAGAGGATGGAGAGGGGGACAGGATGAAGAAGATGCTTATATCTAGAGGGAAAGAAGTCGTCCCAGTGATAGTTGGAGAAATGGAGTAAAGGTGGCTTTTAATGATGGTGGCTTAAATGTCCAATAGGTTTGTGAGAATGTTTGATAGGAGAGACTGGAGACAAATTATTTTTAATGGATGTACTTGTGGAGTGTGAGCAAGCTAACATTTAGGAAGGTATTCAGGGAAACTGGTTAGCTGGACTTAAGAGTCCTGGAGGTGGAAGAGACAATGCTTGCACTCTGAGGAAGCAATGGCAATGCTGCAGTTGGGAGGATCATCTCAAATGTGATGTCAATACACTTCTAACAAGAAGTGTTGGTGAATGCATTTCCTTTTTTTTGGGTCACCCTATTTTGGTAGATGACCACAAAGGCAAAAGAAAAATAGGAAGCTGTTACTTATTATAACTTGAGATACAACATGCTTAACTACAGTTCCAGATACCTGGATTTCCTATTACACAAGCGTTGATTCCAAGATAACCGGATAATAGGCTGATGATTGTAATTTTAACTTACCTTCCTAATAAGAGCAGGGAAGAGAGCAGGGAGACCAATGGTACTGTGTGCAGCTTCAAATGGAGTGTTGCCTACCAGGCCATGAGCACAGAGTGGTGCACCAGCACTCAGCAGGAGGAACACTGCATCTCTGTGACCTCCATGGATGGCCTCAAGCAGAGGGTCTTTACGGGACCCCAGTGGTAAGATATGTACACCTTTCATCAGAAGATCTTGCATAACTTTTACATTTCCTGATCTAGATGCTTCAAGAAAGTCATTAAACTTTACAACAGGTTTAGCAGAGCTGACCATTCCCAGATTTCCCACTGCCTGAAAGCAAATATTTGGTTTAAATATAATGAGACGAGAAGTTGCAAAATTCATTACATATTTATGCCTAGCTGAAAACTCTAGTTTAATGTAAGAATTTCACTGGTTTGTACTTGACTCAAGTTAACTTAACCCTTAAATGGTCCAAACATACCACCAATAAGAAGTGTTGGTGAATGCAACAATACCACCAGTCCGATAACATTCTTCTTTGCAAATATACAGGGTCTAAAGCCAGCAACAAACAACAAAATACCTTTCATCCGTGGACTGCTTGCAGAGGCAAAGGCAATGTTCGCGGCTTTCACTGAGACCCACATAAAGGATCACTTGGACAACGAAATATGGATCCCAGGTTACAACCTATACAGATGTGACAGAGTGAACAGGCAAAAGGGTGGGGTTGGCCTGTACATTACAGAGTCACTTGTTTGCACAGAACTGCTTAATGCCTCAAATGATGTAGTGGAAGTTTTAGCAGTAAAGGTCGAGAACCAAAACCTAGTCATGGTGGTAGTCTACAAGCCTCCGGATGCAACATCCCAGCAATTCCAGGAACAGCTGTTAAAAATTGACCACTGTCTGGAAAATCTTCCAGCTCCTGCACCCAACATCTTGCTCCTGGGGATTTCAACTTAAGACACCTAAAATGGAGGAATATAGCAAATAATATTGTTGCAGTAATAACACCAGGAGGCAGCTCTGATGAAAACTCACACTCACACGAGCTTTTAAATCTCTGCACAAAATTCAATTTAAACCAGCAAATAATAGAGCCTACTAGACTGGAGAATACACTAGACCTCATCTTCACTAACAATGATGATCTGATAAGAAATGTCACCATATCAAAAACAATATACTCAGATCACAACATAATTGAGGTTCAGACATGTATGCGTGGAGCCCCAGACCGACATAATGAGACTAGTCATGAGGGAGCATTCACCAAATTCAACTTCAATAACAAAAACATAAAGTGGGACCAAGTAAACCAAGTCCTAACCGATATAAGCTGGGAAGATGTACTAAGCAACACAGACCCCAACTTATGCCTAGAACAGATTAACTCGGTGGCACTCGATGTATGCACAAGGCTTATTCCTCTAAGAAAAAGGAGGAGTAGATGTAAAATAGAAAGAGACAGGCGCTCCCTTTACAGGTGACGGAAAAGAATAACAGAGCGGCTAAAAGAGGTCAATATATCTGAAATGCGTAGGGAGACACTGGTCAGAGAAATAGCAAGCATCGAACTTAAGCTAAAAGAATCCTTTAGGAGTCAGGAATCGCGGGAAGAACTAAAAGCCATATATGAAATCGAAAGAAACCCAAAGCATTTCTTCTCCTATGCCAAATCAAAATCAAGAACAACGTCCAGTATTGGGCCCCTACTTAAACAAGATGGGTCCTACACAGATGACAGCAAGGAAATGAGTGAGCTACTCAAGTCCCAATATGACTCAGTTTTTAGCAAGCCACTAACCAGACTGAGAGTCGAAGATCAAAATGAATTTTTTTTATGAGAGAGCCACAAAATTTGATTAACACAAGCCTGTCTGATGTTATCCTGACGCCAAATGACTTCGAACAGGCGATAAATGACATGCCCATGCACTCTGCCCCAGGGCCAGACTCATGGAACTCTGTGTTCATCAAGAACTGCAAGAAGCCCCTATCACAAGCCTTTTCCATCCTATGGAGAGGGAGCATGGACACGGGGGTCGTCCCACAGTTACTATAAACAACAGACATAGCCCTACTCCACAAAGGGGGCAGTAAAGCAACAGCAAAGAACTACAGACCAATAGCACTAACATCCCATATCATAAAAATCTTTGAAAGGGTCCTAAGAAGCAAGATCACCACCCATCTAGAAACACATCAGTTACACAACCCAGGGCAACATGGGTTTAGAACAGGTCGCTCCTGTCTGTCTCAACTATTGGATCACTACGACAAGGTCCTAAATGCACTAGAAGAAAAAAAGAATGCAGATGTAATATATACAGACTTTGCAAAAGCCTTCGACAAGTGTGACCATGGCGTAATAGCGCACAAAATGCGTGCTAAAGGAATAACAGGAAAAGTCGGTCGATGGATCTATAATTTCCTCACTAACAGAACACAGAGAGTAGTCGTCAACAGAGTAAAGTCCGAGGCAGCTACGGTGAAAAGCTCTGTTCCACAAGGCACAGTACTCGCTCCCATCTTGTTCCTCATCCTCATATCTGACATAGACAAGGATGTCAGCCACAGCACCGTGTCTTCCTTTGCAGATGACACCCGAATCTGCATGACAGTGTCTTCCATTGCAGACACTGCAAGGCTCCAGGCGGACATCAACCAAATTTTTCAGTGGGCTGCAGAAAACAATATGAAGTTCAACGATGAGAAATTTCAATTACTCAGATATGGTAAACATGAGGAAATTAAATCTTCATCAGAGTACAAAACAAATTCTGGCCACAAAATAGAGCGAAACACCAACGTCAAAGACCTGGGAGTGATCATGTCGGAGGATCTCACCTTCAAGGACCATAACATTGTATCAATCGCATCTGCTAGAAAAATGACAGGATGGATAATGAGAACCTTCAAAACTAGGGAGGCCAAGCCCATGATGACACTCTTCAGGTCACTTGTTCTATCTAGGCTGGAGTATTGCTGCACACTAACAGCACCTTTCAAGGCAGGTGAAATTGCCGACCTAGAAAAAGTACAGAGAACTTTCACGGCGCGCATAACGGAGTTAAAACACCTCAATTACTGGGAGTGCTTGAGGTTCCTAAACCTGTATTCCCTGGAACGCAGGAGGGAGAGATACATGATTATATACACCTGGAAAATCCTAGAGGGACTAGTACCGAACTTGCACACGAAAATCACTCACTATGAAAGCAAAAGACTTGGCAGACGATGCACCATCCCCCCAATGAAAAGCAGGGTTGTCACTAGCACATTAAGAGACCATACAATAAGTGTCAGGGGCCCGAGACTGTTCAACTGCCTCCCAGCACACATAAGGGGGATTACCAACAGACCCCTGGCAGTCTTCAAGCTGGCACTGGACAAGCACCTAAAGTCAGTTCCTGATCAGCCGGGCTGTGGCTCGTACGTTGGTTTGCGTGCAGCCAGCAGCAACAGCCTGGTTGATCAGGCTCTGATCCACCAGGAGGCCTGGTCACAGACCGGGCCGCGGGGGCGTTGACCCCCGGAACTCTCTCCAGGTAAACTCCAGGTAAACGTTCACCTGTGCAGCACCCCGAATATTTTGAGAAAAAAAAAAAAATTATAGAAAAAAAGAGCATGTGGTACCCAGGCGTCCCCAATTTATGTGAGAACGTATATATATGTTTGGACCATTTAAGGGTTAAATTGCTCAGGTAATGTGAGACAACACACAATGCTTATCACTGTTATGACAAGCCTCGGGTGCAGTCATCACCCCAGCTGGTAACTGTGCAGTCATGTATAATAATAAATATAACTCAATATCTCTTGTGCATGTTGGGGATACTGATGAGGAAGATAACGCTTTAAACTCTGTTAAATACACTGTGCTGGAAAATCATGTGAACAAGAAAAGTTATCTGATGCAGTCATAATTAATAGCTCTCACTTTACCAGTGAAATAAAATAAGCTAACTGCTAAGATACCTTTTTTAGGATCATAAAAGACCAGTTACAAGTTCATGTACTAGCCAACAACATTAAAGAAGCACATTTACTAGGAAAACAAGCTAGTAAACATTGTGTTATGATCAGATTTCATTCACATGATTTTAAAAAGGACCTAATTAAATCATCAATTAGAGTAAAAAATGAAGTGTACATCAGTGAGTGCCTGACAAGAAAATGTCAGAACCTTTTGTTCAGATTTTTTATTGTTGGTTTGTGTAAACATGTTTTGTAAATAATATAATGAGAGCAAATTTTGTGCTGTTATTGTGTAGTATACAATGAGCAAATACAGTAAGGCCCTGCTTTTCAGCGTTTCGCCTAGCAGCGTTCCATTAATATGGCGATCTCAAATTATGACCAAAACTTTCTATACAGCAAGTGGTCTTTCAAATACAGCACAGGTCACCCAGTTTGTTTACATTCTCCATGAGCACATCTCTCTATTATGTAATAATAATCACTCTTGGGCACATTAAATGACTAATTTTATGTCAATATAGACATTTTCATTAATCCACCTATGATATTTTCTTCAAAATTATATAAGAAACACGTTAAGGAGGTGACCAAGCTGACTTGAATAACTATAGACCAATATCTAACTTACCACTGCTTTCTAAAATCTTTGAAAAATTAATTCATAGAAGGATCTATTCCTACCTCGTCTCACACAACATATTAAACCCTTGTCAGTTTGGATTCAGGAATAATAAAAGCACAAATGATGCCATTATACACATGCTAGAACTAATATATACCGCACTCGAAAAGAAAGAAGTCCCGCTGGGCATTTTCATTGATTTACGGATTTACGTAAGCTTTCGATAAAGTCGACAATGAACTGCTGTACTCCAAACTAATGTACTATGGTATCAGAGGCCACTCCCTCAACTACCTAAAATCATACCTTAGTAACAGAACTAAATATGTGTATGCAAATGATGCAAACTCTTCCACCCAACCAATCACAGTAGGAGTCCCATAAGGAAGTGTCCTTGGACCACTCCTCTTTCTCATCTACAGCAATGATCTACCAAATACATCACAGCTACTCAAACCCATATTATTTGCAGATGACACTACATATGTCTTTTCTCACCCAAACACAGTCATACTAGCAAACACAGTCAATGCCGAATTGCAGAAAATATCTGCCTGGAAGATGACTAATAAACTTACCCTGAATACTGATACAACCTATTTTATTCAGTTTGGAAGCAAAGCTGCAAATGATCCAATTAACATAACACTAAATGGATCATCAGTCACAAGACTCACACAGGGAAAATTCCTAGGTATCCACCTTGACAGTAGCCTTA